TTTATTCGACAAATACAAGGAATTTTCGACAAGACCTATTAAAAGAACTTCTTTGGAGAGTAAACTATTTTGTATCTCTTCAACAGAGTGAATATGTTTTTCGATTTTCGACGTTTAACGAACATTTGACGTCTACATACCCAAAACAAGGTAATTTTGACTGGTGTCTTCCCATTCAGAGGATGCTTCGAACAAAACATATTTTCACATATTATAGTGTCGACCAAATCGTGAGTGTTATTCGAATTTTCAGTTAGCTGTCACTTATAACCACATTGCGTCTAAAAACCAAAAACAAGCAAATTTAACAGGAAGCAACTTATGCAGAATTATGTTTCGTAGCAATCATTCTTTTTAGTGTACTGTAGAAGAGAGTCGTAATTGTTTTTCGAAATTTCGAATTTAATTGTCCATCAATATCTACGGTAATGAGATGTGCATCAGTAAATAACTTGTTATTGTACGATGTGGGCGTTTTAAAAAATTTGAAAAAAAATATATAACAAAAGAGAGCTTCAAAACATATTACTTTCGAAGCTTTTGAAAAGCAAAGTGGAGAGCGAAACAGAAAAAAGCGAGCACGGTGCATATTTCTAATTTAATTTTATTGTACTAGAAATATATTTTTGTACCTGTTTAGTCGTTAATATAATTATAATTTCCTTGAATCCACAAAGTGTGCTTAGCATTTTGTATAAAAGCACTTCATTTTAGTTTTCTCCACCCGAATTCCATTAAAAATTAATATGCCACCCTTAATTTGTACGCAACATTTAGCCTTAAAGCCTTGTGGCTTAGTAATTTTATGCAAATCTGAGAATTTCAGTGCATATTTTGAAGTCACTAATTTGCATTTAAATTGAACATCAAATTTCAGTACAGAATAGCTTGAACAACGAAAGGAAGGCAGAGCTTTTTTTTAAACTAAGAATTAAATTAAGGGTAACTACTTGGTGTTTTAATTATTTTTGGTATTAGGTGGACATTAATGGTTCAAAAATTAAATTTTTAGATACTATTAATAGGCTCTCAGAATAATTGTTGATATACACATACTACTTAAACACTTTGATTTTTTAGAAAGTCCACATTCTGATGGATTCTATAAAGATTTTTTTCTATGAAATGAAACTCATATTGAGGATACATCTCTAAATTCAATATAATAATTCTCAACAATTCCACAACAGCGCCATCTAGCCTTTGACCCAAAAACCAACAGCAAGTGGTTGTTCAAAAAAATAAAAATAATAAAATAATAATATAGATTTGAAAATATAATTGCAAAAAAATATTTGTATAAATATAAATTACAATATAAATAAAAAATAAAAAATTAAATTCAATAAAACATAGAACAAAAATTAAATACAAAAAAAACTTTCATTTTCAAAATGCTAAAGAAATAATCTTTGACGATAATTTTATAAAATACTAATTATATAATTACCAAAAAAAAAAGTATTATATAAATATAAATTACAAAATAAAAACAAATAAGAATAAAAAATTAAATAAAACACAAAAAAAAAATTTAATAAGACATAAATAAAATTAAATAAAAAAAAAATATTATTAATTTTTATTAAACAAACCACTTTCATAACTTCAAAAGCTCACTTAGGGCTAGTGTTCTCAAAATTCTATTAAAACTTCAAAGTAAGCTGAAAAAAATTTCTAAGCAATTCCATAACTCCCAAGTATGCCGAAAAACATTTTTTTTCCAATTTAATATTTAAATGAAATTACCGTTTAATTTCACTTTACTTTATGCTTTTGATCCAAGCGAAAATCAAATTAACATGTAACACTAATTATAAACATTGAGTTTTTAATCTAATCAAAAATGTTGAAAAGCATACAACGGCACTAATTACGGCAACAACAATAATAACAACAACAACAACGATAATAAACAACAAAAACAAAAACAACCAAACCAACATTAATAAAAGCAACAACAATAATAAGAGCGACAACAATAACAATATAAACAACAGCAACGTTAATGAAACCAACAACAAAAACAACCAGCATATAAGTTGAAGCGCTTTCGCAACAATAATGCATTCTTTCTTCGATAAATCTATATGAAAGCAATTCAAAATTTCATTAAAAACGCAATTATAGAGCTTGTGCGCCTAATAGCATGCTACACTGGTGGTGGCAAAGCGCTGCTATAACCCATATACATATACATCTATATAGTGTATACATAACTACCCATTAATCGCAAACACAAAACATGTTATAAACTAATGCATGTGTATATAGTTGTTGTTGCTTTCAGCTAAAAATTGCTTTAGAGCTTGAAAGTGTAGCAATATGTTCAGTAATAGAAATTGTTGCGCATAACTATACAATAAAAATGACATATAGCAATGAGATTTTGAAGAAATGTGGGCCTAAGAGTTGTTATTTATATAAATAAATATATATATACACATATACTTTTTAATACATTTTTATTTATTGTTTTAAATTTTTTCTAAAATTTGATTTTAAAATGTTTTGGAAAACCTTTTATATATCGTATACCTATACATACATCCATATATACACTTACCTTTATATATACAATATATATTATATATACATACATATTGTAAAATCTTTCATTTTCCTCAACAAAAGCCTCACCTTGAAATTATTTTTCTGCCTACAACTTTAATAAGTAATTTTCTAAAAGCAGGAAATCAAATTAGACTCACATTAATTATGTATAACCCTTAGCTTTGAGTGCCTCATTATTGCTTTAACGACAATGAAAGGGCGCAAACGGTGTAGAAAACGCCCAACGAACAATATGTGTAAAGAATTTCATGCAGGTTGTTGTTATACCTAAGCAAAATTAAAGGAAAGGGAAGAAAATTAAAAGAAGAAAAGGAATTTTAACATTGTTACAGTAATAAGAGTCTAGCAGAAAGCAAATTTTTAACATTATAGACAACAAACAAATATTTTTTAATGTTTTAATAAATATTTCAAAAAGTTGTTGTTTAAATTATAGGGAAGAACTATGTAACATGGTATTGTGACAAGGTATCTTCACAACCTCTGGCAGAGATTGTTGTCCTGAACAACGCTACAATTAACAGTTAAGATTTTTTTTCCATACTAAGTAACCTTAATTCGACGTGAAAGCTGTATATAACAAACAGCATAACTAGAAAGAACTTGCAACATGCTATTCGTTGGTTGCAAATATCGATTATAAACCCCTCGCAATAGATAACCCCACGAAGCGCTTTGCAACATGGCGCTTTCAACCAAAAAATAATTTTATAATTTAAAAGCAAGAGAAATCGGTAGTTATTCTACAAAATTGCCAAAAGCAACTATATATTTTCCTTGTAATTGCTGATAAAAGAGCTACGTAAATTCTCTGCTACCCACGCGCATGCGCAAAACACCAAAATAAATTTGCACACACCGCAACTTGAATCGCGAGCAAACAGCTCGTGTATGCATGCGGCCACGTATTTTTATGTGGGCGCTGATAAATTGTAATGTTCGACAATTGAATAAGGCCAAATGCGCTAACATTATTTGTAATTAGTGTGGAATGCAATTTGTCTTAAATGGCACATGTATGTACTATGTATGTTTGTGATTATATGTGTATATATATATATTGAAATAAATGTGACGTTAAAATGCCGTGGAATGCCGTATATAGCATAAAAAGTGATATTTATAAGTTAGGAGGCTATGAAGACAATAATGCTAGAAAGTCTCTCTCGACTGTAATCCCAGTCATCTTTATAAATTACTCGCTGTGAGTTCAATAGTTTTGGTGCATAAGTAGCACTCATATTTTGCATACACAAGTTTGTAATAATATATGTACAAGTATATGCTGCATTGCATTGTTGTTGCCTCCTCCTATACCATTTAAATGGTACAAGCAGCTAAATTACTGGAAGGCATTTTACGACAACTAAATGTGCAGCCTTGACCGCCACAGAGGTTAGTACTTACATAAATACATACTCGTAAGCATGCATATATATTACTGACAATCAGATTATGCTGTTCGCCATCGACTGGTTTGGTCATTACAGAACTTTTTTACGCTCAGCCGAAAGTAAGAGTGTTCAGAATTGGCTTTAAGCTGACGACTTCGGATTGAAAAGCAAAACATATTTATTGGTTATGACTTTAAGTCTAAGTTTACGTACATTTAAATTTCCTTATATTAGCATATATATATATAGTCGAAGTTATATACAAGAAAAACGACGATTTATTTCTCAACATAGTCTCCTTTGAGCTCGTTGTATAATGCTTAAACCAGCGATGCTTCAACCTTTTTAAGCCGCCTCAGAAGTGTGTTTTCTGGATTTCCACGAAGTAGGTCTCCGTAATCGCGATTTTATTTTTTTCGAATAAAATTTCTGTCCGACAAGTGACTTTTTCAAACCAAAATAAGTCTAATGGAGCCGAATATGGAGTACACGCTGAATGGGAGCAGTTCATAGTCTAAATTGACCAATTTGGCCGACGGTGGATGTACAAGCCGGTTCGTTTCATGGTGAAAGACAACGGTAGTCGATGAAAAACATAATTTGTGACTCTCAAAAAACGTCGAATATCCACTTTCAAACCAATTGAACTGGCTTCACCTTCTTCGAAGCAGATTCGTTGCAGAAATCCACTGTTTCGTCTATTCGTAGGGTTTGGTTGCGTACCAGTGGGTCCCTGTTTGATCGATGATCACGAAGCGAAGCCGAAACTTCTTCTGTGAATTCGTCTAATATTTGTAAAAAGTTTGCAATAAACTCAATTTCAAACTTCAAAGGCAAATATTTCGCTTTTGGAGGCTGTATTCGAAAAACGGAGATATAACTTTTTTAACCACCTATGACTCGATCTCTCGAAAAAAATTGTTTTGGTGCAAATTAAGCCATATTTTCGAAATTAAATAGGTTTCTTAAAACAAAGTTCTTGAAATTTGTTTTTGCCAAATAAAATAAAATTAAATGTCAGATTTGTGGAGAAATTTAATTAGTTTAAATTCAAAACCATTTCTCTTGGTCACAGGGTATTTTTCAAAAACATATATATAAATATAGATATATGTTCACTTATACACAATATTCTTTGCTCAAAAATGCTTCGTCGCCACTTTTATGACTCTAAAAAAGCAACACAAGAAAAATAAATTAACAAAAAAGCGAAAACATAACGCCCATAAAACCAGAAATCTTGCTAAGAAATTTGTTGGAGCCACCACTACAATACACATATCGCCACACATGCATCACATCCTGATATGGCGAAACTAAAAGCAAAACCAAAATGAGCAAGTGGGGAAACTAAAAATGGAAAAAAATAAACAAAATCGCTTTGTCGAAATTGCAACATAACCTAAATGATTTATAGCCTTTGTGAATATTTAATGGCGCAGCCTGTCTGCCGAGATGATGAAAAGCACACGAGATGAAAAAAGGGAAAATGCAATAAAATCATGCATAAAAGACAACAACAACAACAGCACACAAGCACACACAAAAAACAATGGACAAAGGTGAGTAACGAAGAAAAACGAAGTGAGTCAGCCAACGACAACTAACTTGGCTAAAATGTGTTTGGTTAAAATGCGCCGGCATATTTAGCCTTCTTGCAGGTCAGCGCTAACGAATGAAGTGAAGAGGTAAAATACACATGTATGTATATATACATATGCATGTGTGTATGTGTGAAGAAAGTGTATACAAGGCAAATGCAAAGTAATAAAGAGTGAAGAATAACTACTGAATGTATGAAAGTTGTTTGCTAGATGCGCCGGAGCGGTGTAAAGTTGCGAGGAATTTGTAAGGATCAGTTAGTTCAGCCCTTTCTGACCATTTGCGCTTGCTGTTGACGGTGTGCAAGTTAGCTGCTAAACAAAAAAAAAAAACAAAAATAAATAAAGTCAAAGACAATTTATTGCAAACACAAGATGACGTAAAATATGTACTTTCGTTTGAGTGCGTCAAGAAAAACAATTCAAGAAGAAAATATGAAATCGAAATAAACTACGAAAATATGATGAAATGCGATTTGAAAAAGAGTGAATAAATACATTATACAGGCAGCAAATTTTGGTCACGAAATTATTTGTGAAATATACTTAATACATTTTTTTTCTTGGAGTATCTGAAAACGCTCAAAAGTTTAGAAATTAAAAATCAATTATTTTTATGAAAAATTAACCTACAAATATAAATTTTGTACTTGTATAACGTTGGCAACCCTGTTTTCTAGTGTAGTTTTATATTAAAAACTCAAGCTGTCGAAAGCATCTACTTATTTGTCATTGTAATATTTTACGTATTTTAACTAAATATAATTTTTTAAATAGGTGGCAACTCTTAAAACATAATATGTTTGTTAAAAAACTTTTGTAAATTCAGAAACATCTAATGATTTGTAATTGTAATGTCTTATAATTATATAATAGCATATCCACTCCACCAATTTACTCCATTATTTTTTAGCTATTAAAAGGTTTTTTGTGTTCATTCAACGATAGAGTATTGTCGAATTTTCGAAGTTAAATTTCATTTATAAATTTCATTCGACAGAGAAATGTAATTTTCGACTAGATTCGACATATTCTAACATTATTTTCAAGAGTAAGTTCTTTTTTGTATTTCATTATCGGACTGAATTACATACATAAATTTTTTCTAATTTTCGAAGTTATTTGTCAAAACACGGTAATTTATCATTAAAAAATTTTATTCAGCAAATTCAATGAATTTGTGACTATAAACGACTTATTCTAAAATTTTTTTTTGAGAACAAGACTTTTTTATATATCACTTTATCTGACTGAGTAAGGTATATTTTTCGAATTTATGAATTTTGCTGTCATTTTGAACTAAGATGTCATGACTTATAAGAAAATCGATGAAATTTTGAGTGGAATCATTCTGTTCGTAGTTAAAGTGTCAAAGCAAACGTGTTTCTTGTGTTCTGATAAACGACAGACGATTGTCGAATTTTCGATTTTAAATTTCAGTTAAAATTTGAAGATTTGAAATTTGTGACTATATCCCAATATTCAAAAACTATTTTGGAACGTAAAATATTTTTGTAATTCTTTTCTGATTGAATAAAATATTTTATTTCGAAATTTCGAAGTTAAATGTCATTTATAATTTTTATTCGACAAATACAAGGAATTTTCGACAAGACCTATTAAAAGACTACTTTTGAGAGTAAACTATTTTGTATCTCTTCAACAGAGTGAATATGTTTTTCGAATTTTCGACGTTATAACGAACATTTGACGTCTACATAACCAAAACAAGGTAATTTTGACTGGTGTCTTCCCATTCAAGAAGGATGCTTCGAAGCAAACATATTTTCATATTATAGTGTCCGACCAAATCGTGAGTGTTATTCGAATTTTCGAAGTTAGCTGTCACTTATAACTCACATTGTACGTCTAAAAACCAAAAACAAAGCAAATTTAACAGGAAGCAACTTATTGCAGAATTATGTTTCGTAGCAATCATTCTTTTTAGTGTACTGTAGAAGAGAGTCGTAATTGTTTTTCGAAATTTCGAATTTAATTGTCATCATATCTAGGTAGATATTGTTGAAAATGCAAAGCAATTCAAATGTTTTTTTGTTTAATTTTTTTCATTATTTCAGAAGTAGAGTATTCATAAATCAAAAAAGCTTGAGCTTATGGATTCCCATTCCGAGAGTATTTCGGTAATCATTAATTTTTATTATATGTGGAAAATATATATATGTATATGTGGTAAAAATTCTTCCCCATATATATCTTCTATAGCTCTTTTTCCACAAAAATCTTTGCAAGTTAATGAGGTGAATTGTAAAAATGCTATAAAATGCACATAATTGTACTTACATACAGACATAAATCTTTGCAATGTTAGTACCAGTTAAATTATATGCACTCCTTTTATTATTGTTGTCGCGAGCGTTGCTTATTATTACATTTCATACACATTTCCATCAGCAACACTACGACTAGGTACTCAGTACCAGTATAACTTATATGTATATAGAGGCATATGTGTATATGTATGCACTGATGTATTGTTATTTTTAATGCACAGCTTTTATTCGTTACCGCAATTGCCATTATTACTTTTATGGTTTTTGTTTTATACTCCTTGGTATTTGCGCTGTCGACTCAACTCACCGTTGGCGTGTTGAAAAATTACCCTTAAAAGACAAAAAGCTCATAAATTGCCTTTTGCTGTTAAGTATTACTGCTGTGCCAGTCGCGCCAGCCTCCACATACTCGCTTATGTTGTGATATGTATGCTCGTATGCTAGTATGCTTGTATGTGTGTGTTGTTGTTGTTATTTTTACCTTCATAGCGTCTTTTTTAACTTGTAGTTTTATGTTTTTATTTCGGTATATTTTTTTATTTTATTTTTATTAAAATTTTTTTTGCTGCTTTTGAATATGTCGCTTTTTGACCATTGTCGTAGCGCTTTTTATTGCCATTGTTTGTGTTGTTGCAATTTTTAATGGTTTTTAACATGTCTTTCGGGTTATTTATTGTTTCTATTGCGTTCTTCCGGCAAAGTGAAGCTGTTGTCATATAGTCATTGTGATCTGTGGTATATACAAACCTCTGTATCTGTACCAAAAACGTATATGCACTCAATACATGCATTATATTTATGATGTTATATATATGTTTGTATATTTTCTTGCAGAAATTTGCATAAAAATGCTTTCTTCAGAAATTTATGTTTCTCTTTTCCTACCGGGTACTTTTTTCTTTACTCTATATTAACATTATAATCACAACATATTCGTTAAAGCAACTTTTTTCAAGTGTTCGTGTTGGTAGTGTAATTAATTCACATCGAGGATGTGTTTCAATTAATTTCGCTTGAATTACTTCTTCTCGGAAAACTTAAGTGTCTCAAACGCAATAAACTAAATACAAAATTGAGGTAGGCATATAACCACATAATGTTCTGAGATATACGAGCATTTCGCATAATTGCATTAACGCCAATAATAAAGTTTTTTTTTTATTATTATATACATATTTTTTAAGACATTTGTGGATGCATCTTAGGAAAAATATTACAAAAGCCCAGTTATTTATCTCTTATGAAAGCTCATATGTTTAAACCATGATATATTGAAGTTTAAGGTCTTTTGACATACACATGTATGTTTTAGGTAATCGATTTATCTTCAAATTTCCTTCCTTATGAAATATTTTTGTAGAAAATTTAGTTAAGATCCATTATTCTGAGATTTTAGTGTACGTGTTAGTTTTTTAGCTGAGCTTCTTTTACTCAGTAGTATCTTTGTTGGTTAGCTAATTCCCAAATGTGTTTAAAAATTAACGTTGTAACAGAAGGTTAAGAGTAAATTTTGGCCTGGATCGCGCTTTCTTTTAAAAATATGATAAACTCTACATTTCGGAGAAGCTCTATATAACATAGACTTATATATATAAAAATAGTGGCGAACTGAGTCGATTTAGCCATGTCCGTCTGTCTGTCGTTCGGTACATACGCGAACCAATTCTTCAGTTTTTGAGATATCAATCTGAAATTCTCCTCAAGAAGCTGGGCATTTGTCGGAACCACCGATTTGGCAACACTATAACAAGGCAATACTTATTACAATCTCCGAACAAATAGTTTAGATCGGACCTCTATAGGATATAAATGCCATTTAAACTTCTTCAAAATTAAGCACTTTTATGGAGAATTTTTTTCATTTCTTTCAAATAACTAACACGAATATTTATTTTCCCTTAAGAAGAAGAAGTCGCGGCTACGTTCTTAATAATATCTAATAAAGGAGTAAAACAAACCTAATTCGTAATGACTTAAGCTTGTTTGGGACCAGAATCTCTTAAGAATGGATTCAGTACTTCTACTGATCTGGTAACCTACACCGTCGTTATTTTAGTTAAGTTAGCTGTCGTTTGTTGCTAATGACTTCGTACTAGATTGGCACTATGATAAAGATATACAGAAAGGAATACAATTCTCACTTTACTGAATTTTGAGTTGCAAAATCCCGCTTAAACTTGATACATCATATCTTAGGTTAGATGGCTGATCCCCCCAAGATGGCGGGGGATCATATTTCGATTCTTCTTCATCCTCTTCCAAGCAGCTTATGCAACTGGTAAAATTTTAAATCTTACTGCATACATTCCGATCTAGTAGTGTCCAGTTGGAACTTGTTGTAACTGTGAGAGATGAACTTTGCTAAGGGCGATGATCTTACTAGACTCTTGAGATTTACCCAAAAGAAACTTGCGGTCAGGCAGTTACTAGTATTTGACCAGCGCTTGTCAAGCTCGGCTGACGCCCAACCATCCAAACCAACCAACCGCAAGAAGCCAAAGGAGCTGCTATCCGTTTTCATTCCGCAACTAGTGAGACAGAAGTACCTGACTTAGCAAGTACCTGGTTTTCGGCAATTTTACTATGACCAGGCAGACAAACCAATCTAATCATGAAGTAAGTCGTTAAGGAGTAGCGAATTCCCTTCACTAGTCTCGAGTGTACGGTCAGGGAGCTCAAGGCTAGTATCACCACACTGCTATCGGAGGAAGTGAATGGTAACCACTCTGAAGGAGGCTGTACTCTGCAACAGGAGATCTACAGGCAGGCGAGGCAGGCACTTTCACTTGTAGGACAGTGGAGTGAGAAAATCTGAAGTGGAGTTGATAGCTAGTTCCCGACAGTAAAGACCATAACAAGAATGCAATCTGGAAATGGTACTAAATAAACCACAACCGAACCAGTTCGGCACAGGACTATATTTCGGCACGGTATATACAAATTTAATTGTACTTACGCCTTTGTTTTTACTTTTTTTGACCATAAAATTTCGTTTGTCTCCTTCTCTCTCCGGTCTACAAAGCTTACACGCCCTTTCATTGTACAAAGATGTCATGTAATGCGATAAAGCGCTAAAATCCACTCAACTCTCTCACATACCAAGCCATCATTTCGCTTTTCAGCCGGTCATTAGTTTGTTTTACAACAAGCATTGCATGAATTTATTTGCATTATTTTCTCCGCCGCCACACATATGTACATATTTATATGCCGCATCTGTCGGGAATATACAAAAATT